GCGATTCAAATCCACATGGACCAAACATCAACTTTTCAAAAGTTACTTTTAAAACTTGGAAAATCTGTCGAAAAAAGGTGCCGGAACTCTGTTCCGGTGCGTTCTATGACAAAAAAAGCACTGGTGGTTAGTAGGTTGGGTGGTATAGGAGGAAACATTTTCATCCAGCAGACTTGTTCAATGCTATGGAAATGCTACAAGGAAAGAGCCCTCCGTGAGGAATGCCAAGCTCGCCAGCCATCAAGCTCCCTTCAGGAGGAGTCATGGGCTTATGAAGACCAGAAACTGCCCAGGACAATGGAAAACAGATCACCTGGTTCTTCTGGACATTAGCTCCCAGCATCCCTGACTGTCAGCCATGCTGGCAGGGGCTTCTGGGTCTTATTTATTAGATTCATATCCCACCTTTATTCTTACAAAGAATCAGAGGGGCTTACAGCTTTCTCCTCCTGCAGCTCTCAGTCTTGCCCCCACAGGAACAACCCTATGAAGTAGACTGGGCCAAGAGTCTTTGACTGGCCCCAAGACACCCAGGGGCCCCACGGCTGAGCAGAGATCACTGCACCACACAAGGTTCTCACATGCCAAAATCCCCAGGGCCACCGTGAAGGAAAGATAGAATAATACAAAATTACATTTATTATGTATGAATTGCATTTATTTCTTAAATGTCATACGTCATTACATTTCTATACCGCCCATAGCCAAAGCTCTCTGGGCGGTTCGTAACATCAAGTCCCCCACCCAGACTTCAACCAGGCTGCTGAGCTTCCAAGATTATACAGGATCAGGCACTTCAGGCTATACAGAAGCTATTTTAGTACATGCACGCATGCACGCACATCATCATCATCAACAACAACGGCAACACCACCACCAACACCACGGTCATCGTCCTTATCCTGCATGTAGGCATGCCTCTCTTCCTCCTGCAAGGAGTCCGAGGCAGCGCACAGAGCTCCATTTCACCCTCACAACAACCTGGAGAGGTAGGCCTGGCCGAGAATGAGCGGCTGGCCCAAAGCAAGCTTCGTGGCCGGGTGGGGACTAGAACCCGCATCTCCCAGGTCTGCAGTCCGACGCTCGAACCGCCATGCCACCTCGGCCCACCCCTCGGTTAGACCCCTCTGGCTAGCAGCCGTGCTCCTGGCTCTCAGAACCGCCCAAACTTGCCCACCCTTTCTCGCTGGTCATCAGAAGACCTCTGTAATGTCGGGAACTGGCACCAGAACGCGCTCGCTTTCTCCACCTTCCCCGTCCCTTTTGTTCTTCTGTGCCATGTCTTTCCGTTCCTAAGCATGACAGGAGCAATTGTTTCTGTCTCGTCCAGTTTTATTGATCTGAAGCAAGCCAGCCTAGGAGCCTTTTCTGCTTTATTTATTTCTTTATGCTGCCCACGGACACAAAGTCACGGGGTGAGGTGCAAATCAAAAACGTAAAACGGGAAGTAACGATAAAACGATGATCACAAAACAGGTCAGAGAGCAACAAGCACGGTGCATGATCGAACCAGGGCTGAGACAAACCTCTTCCGAGTCCGTTGCTCCAGCATGCACAGGCTTGCTCTCAGGAGCGGCCCGGTCCCACGAGGCGAGCCGAGCCCAGGGGAAGCCCGCAAGCCACCCTGGCCCCCAGCTGCGCCACCGGCCCCCTTCCCCATCAGGCGCAGCTTCCCAGCGGGGGGCTGCAGGGCGCAGAAGAGGGCACTGGGTGCCGGGTGCCGCCCCCAGGGACCCACCCTCTCCCCCACCGAGTACAGTCAGTGGGGAAGCACACGACAGGGAAGAGGGGCGTTGGCTGCGCAGCACATGGGGCCCGATCCCGGGCGGGTGACGCACGAGCACTGAGCACAGACTCTGCGCCACTGGGTCTGGGGAGCTGAGCCCAGGGAATCTGACAGGCTCTTACCCCCAAGCGGGTTCCTTGCACGTCCCCAGGAAAAAAACGCCGCCGCCACCACCGCCGACAGGGAATAAACAGGGCAAAGATATGACGGCCTTATTTGTTTGTGTGTTTGTTTGTTTGTTTATTTAGGAGGCTTCTATGCCGCCCCATTTGCCGAAGCCTCAGGGTGGCTCACAATAATAAACAAACACAATATAAAAACAATATAATTTGAGTCTACCTGGCCTTAGAAAAGGCCTTCACCTGGAGCCAGAAAGACCGTAACACAGATGCGCAGCAGGCCTCTCTGGGAAGATCATGCAGCCGCCACCTGAAAGGCCCTCTCATTTGCAGCCACGGACCTCAACAAATTTAGCGGGTGGGCCTGGAGAACGGCCTCGGAGAAGAATTTTAGGGCACTGGGAGGAAACGGTGGGAGCCCGTGGTCCTTCAAGCTACCTGGCCCCACGCCATTTAGGGCTCATCTTAAAACCAGCCTCTAAACACGGCCCAGAAACAGACGGGCATTCAGTGCAAACAAAAGAGCACTAGCATTATGGGACCGTATCAGTCAACCCCCATTTACAACTGAGTCGCCTTGTTTTGGATCAAGTTGAAGCTGCTAAACAAAAGCGGACCCACAATGATCTGCTATTATCCAGATGGGAAGCTGCCAGATCCGCCGAACGAACTGGAGCGCAGGGCACAGCTCGGTGCAATAGCGACATTGAGCTGCTTTCACTGGGCCTGCGTGCGGAGAGCCCAGCCGATGGGAAGCCCTCGGACAGCGAAAGACAGCGCCCTCCACCTCTTGCAGGAAGCGCCATGGCTACACGCAGCATTTCTTGCTTTCCTTTCTATACCACCCGACAGTTGACGTTTTTTGGGGAGCGAACCAGCAATTCATAAGAACACAGCCCACAAGTACAAGAAAAACAGCCTGAAATTTCTCCAACATACAGAATGTAAAAACCCTTTAACGGTTAAAACAATGTTAGGACAAAATAAGCACGTTAATAGCAGCTGATATAAATGCCCCACCTTGCCATTAAATACCTTGAAATGCCATTACATTGCTGGGAGAAGAGAGCAGCTTTAACCTGGCCCCTAAAAAATGACAGAGTTCATACCAGGCAGCTCTCAAAAAGACTATCATTCCATAATGGGGCGGGGGGGGGGGCACTGTGAGACCCACCCTGCTTTGCTGCCACCCTCTGTGGCTCCCCTGGGGGTGGCATTCAGAAGAACACCTCAGGTGTTAATCACAGGGAGGGTCCAGGTAGATTCACTCAAGTACAAACAGCCTCTGTGTTTAATTTCTAAAATGAGACCTGCCGGGACTTAATGTCCACCTGAAATTCATATTGATGGGAAGAGGGAAACACCTTGAACATGCTCAGGGGAATCCTTGTTATTTCTTCAACTGCCTCAGGTTCCAGAGTCACGCATCACATTAAACTGCAGTCATGCATAGCAAAAACAAACGGAGAGCAAACAGAAATTGTTGACGATGCTCAGATGGAGGACGGAAGACTCCTGAGCCCCAGACCACGTTACCCGTTTTTACAGGAATACAACAAACCACTAGGAGAAAGCCTTGCTTGTTTTAGAAAACTATCACCCAGTCGAAGGGCAACAGAAAGCCCATCTTCGCAAGGCTGACCAGGTTCAGCTCTCTGCTGAGCCAGGGGCACCTTGAGCAGAGCTGGCCGAGGCGCCGCTTCTAGTCCGCTGTGTCTTGCCAAGGGAGACACGATGCGCGGAGCCCTGGCACCCCAAGGGAAGGGGCAGCTTCGGGTCACCTTTCAGCTTCCTGAGATACTCTTGGCCACACACTGCCTTCCATCAACCTGACCTACTTCACAGGGCTGACGTTCAAATACCTTTGACCAACAGGAAGAAGGACAAGGGCGTCCTAGGTCAGATCAAGCCACTTTCCCTAGAAGCAAAAATGGCAAAACTGAGACTGCCCCACTCTGGGCACATCCTGAGAAGACAAGATTCCCTGGGGAGGACAATCGTGCCAGCAGAAGTTGCAGGCATAAAAAGACGGACGACTCCACCAAAGAAGCCACGGCCTTGAACTTAGAACAGCTGGGCAAGGCAGTCATGCACAAGGCACTTTGGAAGGACTTCACTTATAGGGTTGGCTTGACGATACATCACAACAAAGGATCGGAGATCCTCTCACTTCCTGGCAAATAGATGGGGAAAGAATGGAGGTAGTGACGGATTTTATTTTCCTGGGCTCCAAGATCACCACAGACGGGGACTGCAGCCAAGAAATTAAAAGACGCTTGCTCCTGGGGAGGAAAGCTATGGCCAATCTAGACAGCATACTGAAAAGCAGAGACATTGCCCTGCCAACAAAAGTGTGTATAGCCAAGGCTATGTATGGCTGTGAAAGCTGGACCATAAGGAAGGCTGAGTACCGAAGAACTGAGGCCTTTGGATTGTGGTGCTGGCGGAGACTCCTGCGAGTCCCTTGGACCGCAAGGCGATCAAACTGGTCAGTCCTAGAGCAGATCGACCCTGACTGCTCTTTGGAAGGCCAGATCCTGAAGATGAAACTCAAATACTTTGGCCACCTAATGGGAAGGAAGGACTCCCTGGAGAAGAGCCTAATGCTGGGAACAATAGATGGCAAAAGGAGAAG